AGAATTTAGAAAAAGCCTTTCATTGGTATCAAAAAGCAGCAGAAAATGGTGATGAAGTAGCAATGTTTAGTTTAGCCAATAGATATTATAATGGAAAAGGAACAGAAAAGAATTTAGAAAAAGCTTTTTATTGGCATCAAAAAGCAGCAGAAAATGGTGATGAAGAAGCAATGTTTAATTTAGCCAATAGATATTATAATGGAGAAGGAACAGAACAGAATTTAGAAAAAGCCTTTTATTGGTATCAAAAAGCAGCAGAAAATGATAAAGTAAATCCTAAAAATGAAGTTAATTCATGTAATGAATGCAAGCAACCATATAATGATTATCAGTGGTGCCAACAATGTAATACTAGACGATTTCAACAAGATTTTTCAAAGTGGACTAGTAAAAATGAACTTATTGATAAATTTATTCAAGAAGCACAACTAAATGCTAAAAATAGTTATGAAATTTTAGAATGGATACCTTATAATAAATTGTCAAGTATTGATTATTATGATAAAGGAGGATTTGGTGAAATCCATAAAGCTATCTGGTTAGATGGACCTATTTATAGTTGGAATTTTAAAAAACAACAATGGGATAGACAAATAAATTATGAGGTTATTCTTAAAATACTTAATAATTCATCATGTTTAGATAGTAAATTTCTGGATGAGGTATAGTATTTATTTTAATAATTTTAATAGCAAATTTTATTTTCTTTGCAAAAAATTTAACAATTTTTTTATTGTCTATATAGTGGAAATATCATTATAATTGTCAAAAAAAATCATTTTCAAAATTTATTCAATTCTTTGGAATTACTCAAGATCCAAATAATTTAAATTATATAATTGTTATGAGTTATGCAAAAAAAGGAAGTTTTAGAAAATGTTTGTCTGATATAATTAAATTTAAGTGGCAAGACAAGTTACAATTATTGAAAACAATTATATTAGGACTTAAAGTAATTCATGAATCAAATTTAACTCATGGTGATTTTCATGATGGTAATGTTTTAATGTCAGATAATCACAATGAGTTATTTATCATTGATTTAGGACTATGTAAACCTATAAGTGATTCTGGTAATAAGGTTAATGAAATTTATGGAGTTTTACCTTATATGGCTCCTGAAATATTAAGAAACAAACCTTATACCCCAGCAAGTGATATTTATAGTCTTTCAATGATAATGTGGGAATTTACATCAGGTACTCCTCCATTTTATCATGAAGCACATGATCATCACCTTAGCTTGGATATTTGTAGAGGAAAACGTCCTGAAATTAAAAAAAATACTCCAAAATGTTATATAGATTTAATGAAAAATTGTTGGGATTCAAATCCCTCCAATAGACCAACCGTAAGAATGCTTGAAAATATAGTATCTGAGTGGGTTAGATGTATTAATGAATATTATAAAATAAACAGGAATGGAAGTTATAGCTATTTAGTACCTAATATTGATAATCAATTAAAAGATGATATGCTTGAATTTGTAAAAGCTAACAAAACTTTAGTACAAGAACAAGCAAATACTTCTATTGTGCAATCTCATCCACAAGCATATTATATAAGTCGCAAATTTACTGGAATTTTAGCTCAAGAAAAATCTGAAATCATAGTTCAGGAAAAGTCTGAAATCTTAGCTCAAGAAAAGTCTGAGTGTTTTGAATGTATAATTGTATATAAATGATCTTGTTATTTATAGAATTATTTATATTATTTAATTTACACTTTTTGCAATAAAATAAATATTATCGTTTATACAGTATTTTTATTTTCATTAGTATTTCTTATAAATTTCACAGAAACTCATTTTTCCAAAGTCATTTCACTAAGTTTTTTAAGATGCAAATCTCTAAGGATTCTGTTAATTGCCATAGAATCCTTAAAGATCTGATATTTTGTGAATTCCTTAAAAATCCTTTAACAAATTTCAAGGATCTTTTAGAATTCCATAAATTACTGAATCCTTAAAGATTTCTAATAAAAAATCTTTAGGGCCTTCTAATTTAAATTTTTTATAACAAAAGTTAACGTTAAACCCGTGTAGAACGATCTACAAATTTGTGTACTATCTTTTTAAATAAACTTTTTAACGAATTCTTTTTTTCTATTCTCTTTATACATTTTTTCTCTTTCCTTCTTTTCCCTTTTACGCGTTTTTTCTCTTTCTCCTTCATTTTTTTCCTTTCCCTATTTATTTCACGTTAATAAAATGTATCTATTTTTTGAATCACGGTAACTTGTATTTATTTTTCAATTTAAGTATTTAACTAAAACTTTTTTTGCGGTAAGTAAAAAAAAATTAACATTACTAATTGTTCTTTTTTTATTTTTCTTGGATTTTTTCATAGATATTCAGTAATTTTTTAGTTTTTTTTTATTTTAACGGACATTACTAAATATTTGTTTTATTTCTTTTTTTAGGTCATTTTTTCATGTCGGAAATCTGGAAAGTAAAAAAATATTTTTTCGAATTTTCTTTTTTTGTTTAACGAATATTACTAAATGTTTGTTATCTGTTGCTATCTCTTTTTTTAGGCGATTTCTTAGAATCTCTCTGGACATGAAAATTTTTGGCAAGAAAAAAAACTTCAACTTATTTTTTTTATTTAAGTTTTAACAAACACTACTAACTATTCATTATTTTATTCTTGTTATTAGTCAGTTTTCCAAATTTCTTTGGACATTGGAATTTGGTAAGTTTAAATTTTCTTTTTCTTCACCTTTTAACAAACTGTTACTAACAGTTCTTTTTTTTAGGCATTCTTCGGGTCTCTTGGACGTAGATCGTAGATTTTGGTAGTGAAGTACTTTTTTTATTTAAATCAATTCTTTCAGCTAATGTTTCATCTTCATGATTTTTTTTAAAGCTGAGAGAACGCATGGGAAATTGGTTGGAAAACGAATTTCTTCTAACAAAAAGTTTGCACTTTCTGGACGCGTTGGATTTAAGTGAGTTATTTTTTTCTTTGCTATTTGTTTAACGAAGCAATAAAACTTTTACTAACGTTTCATTTTATTTCTTTTTTTTAGACGGCTTCTCCACATTAAGGGTATACAACATTTATGAACTATCTCTTTAATGGAAGTCTTACTAACGTTTTGATTCTTTCTTTTTTTAGGCGGCCAGAACCTTGGATGTATAGATTCTTGGTAAGAATCTTTGAAATTTTTTTTTTAAATTTTGTTTTATTGAACCATTTTATCAACTTTCAATTTTCTCTTTTTTTTAAGACAGCCAACTCCTCGGACGTGTAGGTTTTCGGTAGAGATTTCAAGAGATTTTTTGTTAAATCTTTCTTTTGTTGAAATGTTTTACCAATTTTTTCTTTCTCTTTTAGGCGGATTTTTGAATCTCTCTAGACTAGAGCTTCGGTCTGAATGAAATCCATCATCCGGATTGAATAACAATTTAATCCGGATGAAAACTGTTATTAAACGAAAATCCGGATAAAAAAAATTATTTCAAAAAATCCAGTCCTACCATTAAATGCGCAACGTCAAGCACTATCAAACATGCCTTAGATTGTTAAATTCTGATCATTGGTTTCGGAAATATTTTGAGTTATTCGAAAACTGGCAATCCGGATGGATGCGACGAAATCCGGTTCAAACCGCGGATTTCATCCGGATTTTTGATTTAATCCGGATCAATCCGGATCAATCCGTACACGAAGTCAGTAAAAATAGAATTTTTTTTATTTTAATGAATATTATTACTATTTGTTCTTTTTTTAGGTGTTTTTTGAATTTCTGAACATAGATATCTGGTAAATAAAACTTTTTTTCAGGTTTTGTATTTAACAAATTGTTCATTTATTTTCTTTTTTTCAGTTTAGTTGTTTAACTTAGTTTTACTAACAAATAGTTATTAACAATTATTATTTTTAGGTCCTTCGGAGTATTGATTGGAGAGTAAATAATGATGGGTTTATGAAAATGATAAAGATGAAAGTAATAGGGAGATGAAGATGAAAGAGATGAAGATAATAGAAAAGGAATTAGTGAAGGAGACTATATTTTAAAAAATTAGAAAATAGTGTAGAAATTAATCTTTATTATTAATATATATGTAATAAATAATATATAAAATAAAATAAATAAATACAACTAAATTATTAAATAAATTACTAAATAAATAAATGATTTTATACAACATATAACATATTTTCAAATCAAAAGATCAAGCATTAAAATAATATTGATAATAATAAATAAATATCCCTAAGGATTCTTTCTGGTCCTTAGGGGTTCCTTAAATTTTTTTTTCAATGAGGAATCCTCGCTGGTGGGGAGGTCATCAGATTATGGCGTCGTCTAGAGATTCCATTATTATAGGAATTGAGAATATCCATTTTTGGTTTCTCACAAAAATTATCATTACATCGAAATGGTGATAAAGCTCAATAAATGAATATTGAATTAATAAATCATTATTCATTAACCCAGTTTTATTAAACATTTCAATGCACAGAAAATCAAATTTTCTATTGAACATTGGGTTACATCTTTAGTTAATAATATTAAAATTCCTGCGGATTTAGTTCATAGATTACTATTTCAGATTTTCAATTCTTAATTAGGCATAAATATTTTCAATAATATTTTAGATTAAAATTCAAATTTTATTTATAATATCGGAAATTTAATACTTCAACTTACAGATGTGATAAATCATTCCTTTTTTAAAATTTTTATATTCCAAATTGCAATTTAATATCATAAGGGTTAATAGAGATAATATTTCATTAATTTAAAAATAATTATAATTTCAGAAAATCACAAAGATTTTATTTAGGTATAAGAATTTTCTTTTATGTATTTCATTATTATCATTGAAAATTTCAGCGATTTAACCATTTTATGTACTGTACAATCTGTACATGTAGCATTTGAATCCTCATAAAATGTCAGTGTAACTAATTTGTTATTGAATTGCTTCTATAGGAATTATCAATGATAACAATATATATACAGAGATAATGTAAAGGCCAAAATATTATCTGTACGTATATTTTCAGGGCCTGAATCATGATAATTTAGGCCATTTCCTAAAAAGGCAATAATTTTCGGCCAGGATTACCTATAAAAGGAAAGATATATTTTGGAGGAACTTGAAAAAAATGCTAATCTAAAATTTGATAAGATCTTGTTAAAAACCGGTAATCTAGTGAACAGTCTGCAAGTGGTGATGTCGGTAAGCGCGTTTTTAAAGGTAATTTTGCTTATAGTACGTGATTTTACGCATTATTTTTATTTTTTCCTCATTTTTTTTGTTATTTATTAATATTTATAATATAGAAAACTAATCGAAAAAAATCTCAATATTCTGGGGCACATGTCTTTGGATTTGATATTGAAGTATTACATCAAGTGTGGATTGAACAATTTAGAAAACCATCAACTGACAAAAGTTATTATTGATAAAAGAAAGAGGCCACTCAACGAAGTACATCATTTGGAAAAGAGGCACACGAACAAATTAAACAACTTATTATAAAGCACCAAATGGTTTTGGAGTCTAGAAATCCAATTTGTATATATAATATGGAACTAGGATGTGAAAATCAAATTATTAATATAAAATATAGTTCAATTATAGATAATGCAAGATTAGATGCTTATGTACGTGCTTGTGATGAAGCTTTGTTGGGTCGTGATGGGTATCGAA